AATTAAAGGCATCAAAATAGGAAAAGAAGAACTTAAATTATCACTATTTGCAGATGACATGATTCTATACCTAGCAGACCCAAAAGGCTCTACAAAGAAACTATTAGAGCTAATAAATGAATTCAGCAAAGTGGCAGGATATAAAATCAACACGCATAAATCAAAGGCATTCCTGTATATCAGCGACAAATCCTCTGAAATGGAAATGAGGACAACCACTCCATTCACAATATCTTCAAAAAAAATAAAATACTTGGGAATCAACCTAACAAAAGAGGTGAAAGACTTATACAATGAAAACTACAGAACCCTAAAGAGAGAAATAGAAGAAGATCTTATAAGATGGAAAAATATACCCTGTTCATGGATAGGCAGAACTAACATCATCAAAATGGCGATATTACCAAAAGTTCTCTATAGGTTTAATGCAATGCCAATCAAAATCCCAACGGCATTTCTTGTAGAAATAGAGAAAGCAATCATGAAATTCATATGGAAAAATAAAAGACCCAGAATAGCAAAAACAATGCTAAGCAGGAAGTGTGAATCAGGCAGTATAGCGATACCAGACTTCAAACTATACTACAGAGCAATAGTAACAAAAACAGCATGGTACTGGTACCAAAACAGGCGGGTGGACCAATGGTACAGAATAGAGGACACAGAAACCAATCCACAAAACTACAACTACCTTATATTTGATAAAGGGGCTAAAAGCATGCAATGGAGGAAGGATAGCATCTTCAACAAATGGTGCTGGGAAAACTGGAAATCCATATGCAACAAAATGAAACTGAATCCCTTTCTCTCGCCATAATGCATCTCACTTAGAAATGAAAGTTAGCAATACATTCTGACTTATTCTGGTTCCACCTTGGATTTTTCAATTTTACAGTGGTGCAAAGGTGATATGGGTTCAGTAGATAGTGTACTGCAAATATGGGAGTTTTAACTTTTCTTGAGCTAACATGGGTGATGTGATGCTTTTTTAGAATGCTGGGTAGTGACATTTAATAAAACATACCATAAATTTATGATAAGTTCTCTCAATAAATTATGAAAACAGGATTTAATTCAGCTTATCATGATAAAAGCCATTCTTTTTAAAGCCTATAATATTAAATTTAATTACCATTAGTTCTATTTGTATATTGTACTTGAAGTCATTTGCAGTGTTGTAAGCACCACAAAATAAATAAATAAAAAGCATAAATCTTTGAGAAGAAAAAATCTTGTCAGTTTTGCACATATAATTTGATACATTGAAAATTCAAAGAATTAACAAAAATTGTAATTAATAGATGGGTTCACTAAAATTCTTGGATAAAAAAATCATTATATAAAATTTCTCATGTTTTTATAATTTTGGAATAAAGTTGAAAAATTTTAGATTTGAAAGACAAAATTTATACAATAGCATAGATAAGAATTAGTTAGAAGTAGATGTAACAAAAAGTGATCACCATGAAGAAAAATTCTAAGAATATTATTGAGAATTAAAATTAAAGAAGATCAAAGTAAAACTGAGATACATATCATGTTCATTTATTGTAAGTTATTATTATAAAATTATTATTCTTTTAAGATTTATCAATAGACCTGGTTTAATGGCAATCAAAATTCGAATTCTTTTATTATTGGTAGGATGGGTGCCTTACAACCTGATTATAATATTTTTTAAGCCAGTACAAAAGCCAAGAGCAAATAAGAGACTTAAAACTGCTCGAATATAAAATCTATTAATTAAAAAAATACAAACAAATTGAAAAACTAAGGAAAGACATGGGAATGATTATCATCAAAGTCCGAATGAATGTTGTTTCTGTGACTAAGGAGGGATGAAGTTGTGATTAAAGCCCCCAACAGGGGCTGGCCTGCCGCTGGGGTTCTGTTTTGTTTAAAGGGCAAAATTGTGCATACAGGTTTTATTCATTTTTGTTTATGTGTACTATATTCATTATGTTAAGAAATGTAAGGAAAGAGGGAAATGATGAAAACAAGCCAAAGAAGGTTAATCCAAAATAAAACATGGATTCTTTGAAATTTATGTCTATCAGATAGTGAAATTCAATTCAAATATTAAATGGAGAAAAAAGAGTAAGAAGATGTGAGCAAGAAGATGAAGTCAAATGTATGTCCCAAAATACAAGGCAAAGTCACAGAGAGATAGAAATATGAAAGGAAAGCTAAGAAACATGGATATTGATATTGACTTTGGGATATATTTGATAAGAGATTCAGAAAGAAAAGATAGTGATAAATGAGGGGACTGTAATAACAAAATAAGAGAAAAAAAATTTCCTACAGTGAACAAAACCAGATTCTTGAGGTTGAAAGGATTGAGGACCAAGTAGATAAATGACAGGAGACAAATTTTTATATCTGATCCTTTATATTTTAGTTGGAGGGCAAAAGAAAGGGGTTTTCAAACATGAGGATTCTGAGTTTCCTTTTATCCGCCCTATCTTTGAAAGATTCTTACTGGTCTTCTGCAAAAATGAGAAGAAAATCCAAAACATAAAATGAAATCAGATTAAATAAAATGTACAAAAAAGGATACCATTCATAGAGTAATCCAGCTAACTAAATATGTGACTATTTGTAATGTTCAATGATATCAATAATTCCTACAAAAGGAGAGAGATCATGTTCAAAATATTTTAATGAAGACACTAGATTATTTTAAGAGTGGGCTGAGAGGATATAAGTGATTAAGCACTATAACATAATTAAAATGCTCTTATATAATAGAAACATGAAAGAAAAATTTAAAAGAAATCATTGAACCCACTTGAATCAAAGTGTGAAATATGATATATCAAGAACTATGTAATGGTTTGAACAGCCAACAATAAAAAATTAAAAAAAAATAAAATAAAAAAAAAATGAAAGAAATCATTGTATGTAGAAAACTTAAAATAGCATGACTTGAATAGGTCCCAATATGTCCCAAGAAATATTAAAGAGTTAGGAAGTTTTGTAGTATGATTACTAGGATGTAGTCATAAATTAAAATTACCTAAAGAGATTGAAATAAAAAGGAAAAACTGAGGGGCTGGGGTTGTGGCTCAGCGCTAGAGCGCTCACCTAGCACATGCAGGGCTCTGGGTTCGATCCTCAGTGCCACATAAAAATAAAATAAAGGTGTTGTGTTCAACACAACTAAAAATATTTTTTTAAAAATTAGAAAAGGAACAATGAAATGACAATATGGTAGGAGGCAAATAGAACCAAAGTTAAAGAACCTCAAATGGAAGAACAGAGGGATATTTTGTATTGATATTATTTATTTATTTAATAAATACATGACAATAGTGGAATGCATTACACTCATTATTACCCATATACAACACAATTTTTCATAACTCTGTATATAAAGTATGTTCACGCTAAATTATGCCATTATACATGTACTTTTTTGTATTATAATTCTTAATACACATATATATCATAATTTTTCATATCTCTGTTTGTATCAAATCTTCATACATGTATTACGTATAATGATGACCATCACATTCCACCATCCTTGCTAATCCCCTTACCCCGCCTTTCCCTTCCACCTCTCTTCCCTATCTAGAAATAATCTTCCTTCTATACTCTCCCTCCCTACCTCACTTTGAGTCACCCTCAATTATATCAGAGAAAACATTTGTTTTTTGGCATTGGCTAACTTCACTTAGCATTATCTTCTCTAATGCCATCCATTTACCTGCAAATGCCATGATTATGTTCTTTTTTAGTGCTGAGTGATATTCCATTGTGTATAAATGCCACATTTTTTTTTATCCATTCATCCACTGAAGGACATCTAGGTTGGTTTCCTAGTTTATCTATTGTGAATTGTGCTGCTATGAATTTGATATTAGTTTTAACCTACCAAAAAGACAAAAGTCTTTATAAGGGCAATATGTATGAAACCAAATCTGTTTGTAATAAGAAGAGAAATTGACAGACTTCATCATTAGGGGAAATTCAACATACCTCTTTTTGGAATTGAGGTTAAGTAGAGAAAAGAATCAAAATAATAACTGAGAAAAATCAGAATATCTAAAATCAATGTTAAAAATAGTAATATATATATTTTTGTCCTGTCTATAGAAATGATATTCCATAATTATTGAATTTTCAGATTCATTGATATGATATTATACATGGGCCTTATTGATAATTTTTAAAATTTTCCTCTTATTTGTGTTTATTTTTACTTTTGCATTCCTTGTATTGTTAATGTTGTTTTCTCTGTTGTGCAACCAGATTTGCCTAAGATTTGTCTGTTATTGTTTTATTTTTAACTTTATAAATGCTCTTATATAATAGAAGCACGAAACATTGTATATAGAAACATGAAACATTGTATATAGAAAACTTAAAATAGCATGACTTGAATAGGTCCTAATATGTCATTTGTCAGAAGAAATATTAAAGAGTTAGGAAGTTTTGTAGTATGATTACTAGGATGAAGTCATAAATTTTGGTTCAAATGATTAACTCTTTTATGTTTTATTTAAGCCATTAATTTGTGCTTTTAATTTTATTAATTTGATTTTTTGACTTAATTATGGTTTATTTGCCCTCCACCCTAGTTTCATGAATTCAGTGCTTAGTTTGATTATTTTCTGTCTTTTTTGTTTTCTAATAGTTGCCTATTAGGATATAAAGTTATTTTGAAAGTGGCTTTAGCCATATATCATAGGTTTTGGTCTGAATGTTTTTATTGTTATTTAGAAATAATCTGAAGCAATTTTGATTTCTATTTTAGGCAAAGATTTATAGTGTATGTTTTAATTTTTAAGTGCTGAAAATGTAGACTGTGGCTATTGAACTCTATCCAGATGTTCCCTGACTGGTTCTGTTGATACCTTGTACCACAAAATGGTCAGGTCCTTTCTACAAGAACCTTCCCCAGGTGGAGTGTTAATCACTTTAATAAATAAAAATTTAGTTGTATTTTTCTTCATTAAGAGGTCTTTTCCCCCTTTGTTTTTATTTTCCTTTAGTCTTACTGCTCTGATCCAAACCTTGTGTTAGATTTGAAGAACCTTATTGTGCTTTTTGCTGACACACTTCAGGTATGTGAGTTCTGTTTACATATGCTCATCTAGCTTAAGGTTTCATCAATACTGACTCTTGTCATATCTACATAAGCTTGGATAAGTACTTTAGTCCTTAGTAGTTTTTTCTTTTCCTAGAGGTAGACCTTTTTATCTATTTGTAGCATTTCCTAGGTTTCACCTTTTATGTGATATATAAACACCTTTGTGTTATAAAATACAATATAAAAACACCTTTATAGGGGAGCTGGGGTTGTGGCTCAGTGGTAGAGCGCTCGCCCAGCAGGTGTGAGGACCTGGGTTCTCTCCTCAGCAGCACATAAAAATACATAAATAAAATAAAGGTATTGGGTACAACTACAACAAAAAAATGTTTTTATAAGTACTTCCCACCCCCTTTTTTTCCTCTCATATCAAACCAATTAATCAACTTGCCACATTAGTTTTTAAAAAATGTTCTTAATTTGGGAATGGCACCTGAATGACTTTGTGGTTTTGTTAACTAACATCTTGAATAATGATGGTTGATTTGAACAACATAGTATCTTCAGCAGAGTAGCTTAGATGTGGTGAAATGGTACCATCTTTGTTTTCTTTCCTTATTCTCTAAGGCTGTTACTATAGGCAATAAAAGTTAAAGAGGAGTGAAAGGGAGAACTTTGCTTACAGCATACCTACCATATATTGATTTTAATTTTTATCATTTATTTTTTCTGACTGGCTTAGCCATTTTTGTATGTTTCCTTTAATTTTTGTGAAATAAACACTAAGTGTTAGGATGGGAATAGAAGATTTTCCCACATGGTTTCATTGAAATTGTCCAAAGAACAAAATGTCTTTCAGTGCCTAATCCTTCTTATGTTGCTTTAAAAAGCCACCTTAGAAAATGAAGTTATTTTCTTTTTTTTTTTTTAATTTTTTTTATTGGTTGTTCAAAACATTATAAAGCTCTTGACATATCATATTTCATACATTAGATTCAAGTTGGTTATGAACTCCCAATTTTACCCCAAATACAGATTGCAGAATCACATCGGTTACACATCCACATTTTTACATAATGCCCTATTAGTAACTGTTGTATTCTGCTACCTTTCCTATCCTCTACCATCCCCCCTCCCTCCCCTCCCATCTTCTCTCTCTACCCCATCCACTGTAATTCATATCTCTCCTTGTTTATTTTCCCATTCCCCTCACAACCTCTTATATGTAATTTTGTATAGCAATGAGGGTCTCCCTCCATTACCATGCAATTTCCCTTTTCTCTCCCTTTCCATCCCACCTCATGTATCTGTTTAATGTTAATCTTTTCTTCCTGCTCTTCCTCCCTGCTCTGTTCTTAGTTGCTCTCATTATATCAAAGAAGACATTTGGTATTTGTTTTTTAGGGATTGGCTAGCTTCACTAAGCATAATCTGCTCTAGTGCCATCCATTTCCCTGCAAATTCTATGATTTTGTCATTTTTTAGTGCTGCGTAATACTCCATGGTGTATAAATGCCACGTTATTTTCTTATTTTGTTTCAGGTTTATGGTTTTCCTGTAAATCAACTTTTTGACATGCTGTTAGAAATCAGAGACCAGTATAGTGAAACTCTACTGAAGAAGTGGGCAGGTATTTTCAGGTGAGAAACTATAGTCATACGTGTCCAAATGTGTACGCACATCTTTATGTACAGGATTTTCAGATGTAATGCAAGTAAGAATATGTGGCATATAAGTTTCTAGTTACTCCAGGTTATGTTCCAGAATTCAGATGAAATTTGATAATATTAAAAAATGATATTCCCAAGATATCCAGTCTTCTTAGTTGGGAATGTCAGAGTCATTGTTTCATACCATCGGGATCAACTTGTGTCTTATTCCAATTTTTAGTTTTCTCTAAGGATCATATCTAGTTTTATATCTCACGTATGTGGTAGTGGCATTTGTGCCTTTATGAATAATTTCAGCTTTGGGGAAACTGTGTTGAGGATACAGCCATGTTATCTGTCATTTTTCTTCTTCATCCTCAGAAACAGTGGATTAGTATAGTCCACTATTTAAGCCATGTTTTTTTGAATAGTTACTACAACTTGCATTCAATAATAAGAAAGTTATTCTGTTACAACTTACACTCAAAAATATGTTTTAGGATTGTTTTCTAAGCACATACCCTATGCCAACTCATTGTCTTTAAAACTTATTCCTTTAAGTGATCTTCTTGCCTTTTGCGTGATACCTTCCCTTGATTAGATTATCCTGCTTTCAGAGTATTATAGTTTTAAGATCTTACGTGATTCTTTTAATCTTATTTTTTATAGTTCATGAACATAGCCTTGATCATCATTTAGACAGACTCACTTGTATATTAATGTAAATACTTATACTTCCAAAAATCTGTATTTATTTAATGGTGATAATTGTTCTTAGGGGAGGGTTATCTCTATAGAATTTTCTGAAAATTAACAACAGGATAATGCTACAATCTTAAGTCCTTCTGTTATGGTGCTTTCACTCACTCCAGTGAGTTTCATGTTTTGATTTTGGTCAGCTGGTTTCTGTTTTTAGAGAACCCCCAGTCTAGTTAAGGAGAGAAAAATTATAGATGAACATAATGTGTGATTAATATAGAGTAGTAGATGAAGTAAATGAGCACAATTTAGATTTATGATAAAAGTTACTTATTCTACCTGCCAGTTTCAAAAGTTAGAATATCTAGCGCAGGATTAAAAAACATAATTATTATCACATATTTCTTGTGAAAACAAACAGAAACAACTTCTTTGTCTTTTCTAGAGTATACACTCTTATTATTTACTTCTCGCTTGCCTTAAAATTTTCTGACCCATTTTTGAATCTCAAATACTGCAAGATCATGTTTACAATTGTCTTCTATTTGTTTCAGAGCATAGTTTTCTTTCTGACTTCTTTAAAAATTGATCTTAGGGCTGGGTAAAGTATAAAGTGCTTGCCCAGCATATATGAGGCAAGCACTTTATTCCCCAGCACCAAACAAACAAACAAAAAAAGAAGTTTTTTAAAAGATGCTTTAAAAATCAATTTAATGTACATGTATGGATTTGTTAAAAAAAAGTACAATTATGTACAACTATATTCACCAATTAAAATGAGGAAATAAAAAATAAAAAAGTTGATTTTATCTTGAGCCAAATGGCTGTATTATAGAAGATATATATATATATATATACACACACACACACACACACAAATGGGCACTGGGAGTGTGACTTCGAAGTTGTGATATATGTATATAGCCATTGGCTGTTGGTGTTCATCATAAAATTGCTTGTGATTTACCCACCACCTCTCTTTCCCTCCTTCCCTTTCTTCCATTATTGTTTTTTATAGAAACATACTTGATTCTGACAACTACAGTCCCATACCAGTAACAAGTGAGGAGATGTATAAAAAGGTGGTAGGACAATTCCCGTTCCAAGATACAGAGCTGGAAAAGGTAAGGAATACTTTCAAGTAAACTTCCCTGGTTGTTTTGACATTCTGTAGAAGCTTTAATTAGATCAGTTTCATTGAAAATGATGACCTTCTCCCCAGTGGATTAGAATTCTAATGCACTTCCACGCATTATCTTTGGTGCTTAGAACAGAATTCCCTGATATGGCACTCAGTAGATGGCATTGGGGTCCAATAACCTCTGAAGGGTTTGGAGGACTGCTGGGGATATTCCAATTTGGTTTACACTCTGAAATGCTTGTTTTTATTATGCTCTTAAGACCATTTGTCCCCAGAATTCACAGTAAAATGTACCTCTGGGGGTATACATTTCTGTTATTTTTGACAATCTGTTGTGGATGTCTTCACTACCATGGTAAAAGAGAACAGTTTCATCACCCTCCCATATTTCCTCATGCTGCCCCACTCTGATTAACCCCTCCCATCACTTCCATACTTGAAAACACCAGTCTGGTCTCTATTTGTTTTTTTCAGAGTGCCATATAAATGGGATCATGTAGTATAACCTTTTGAGACTGACTTCTTTAACTAGTGTAATGCTTTTGAGACTTGTCTAAGTTGTTGGATAGATCAGTAGTTCATTTCTTTTTATTACTGAGCATGTGCTAAAATTTGTTTAGCCTTCCACGTGTTGAAGAACATTCGGATTTTTTTAAAATTTTAATTAAGCCCCCCACCTTTTTTTATAGTGGCAGAAAACTTTTGAAGACATTCTTTTAAATTTGAGCTTGTTAAGCAGACAGTTCCCAGTGTGGAAGAAAGTTCATTTTGTGTTTTAAATAATTTTTAAGTATATCCATTGTATGTTTGTGACTTCCTTTCATTAATTCTTGCATTTACAGCAACCATTCCCCAAAAAGTTTCCTTTCTCTGAATTTGTGCCAAAAGTTTACAACCAAATTAAAGAATTTATCTATGCATGTCTGAAGTTTTCAGAAGATCTTCATCTAAGGTACAGTATGAAAGAGTCAAAAATGAAGATTGTGGCCCTCTCTAAATAAAAATTTTGACAATTTTTCAATAGTGCCTTCATCTGTGATTTTGATTTTTAATATTAGCTCTTTGCTACATGACACTTTTATTTTTATAGTTCTTTATAGTCAAAGGAAAAGATGGCAATTTAAGAATAGTTTTAAAATTAATATTACCTATCTTATTTTTATTTTTAACAGATTTCTATCTTAATACTTTTATTAAGGAGAACTCACTGGAAAATTGTAGTATAACATAATAATTTTAATATTCTATTTAATGAAATTTTAAGGCCAGAAGAAAAATAGTCGATAAGATTCTTTGGAAACATTATTATTGCTCTGCTTATGTATATATGTTTCTGTATGTGTTAGACTATGGGCTTTTTTTTTCTTTGTTCATTTATTGGTTTATTTACCATACATTATGGCCAGTGTATTACATTAGATACTGCTTGGTAGTAAAGACAGTGAGATGTTAAAAATAGGGTCTCTATCTTCAAGGAGTATCTCATTTAATTAAAGGACTTAACAATTAATGGTACAAACTAGAGATAAACAGGAACAACATAGGATCCAGCATTAACACAAATTTAGAATGTTCAAAAAGACCTCTTGTAGGATAAAAACAGTATCTTTTATACAACACGATTTCTGCTGTATTCAACTCAATAAATTAAAAAAAATTTGAATGAATGAATGGAAAGTATAGTACACTGGGCCACTTTAAATTTAGTTTACCTTGGGTAAAATCTAAATGGTTCAAATTTCTTTTACTTGCATGAACACTATATTAAAATTTTGCCTGAAAACTCTCTTTGACTTGTTTCACATTGAAAGTTTAAATTGAATATTCAAGTTGGAGGCATTTTATAGTTACTTTTTACTCTTTGGTTGACATTTATCTTCTATCCTAGAGTTATTTGCCTTATAACCTGGAGTGACAGAGAATATTAAATCAATCATAGCTGTTTTAGGATGATGATTAATATGGCATATAAGACAATATATATATATAAACAGTTCTCTTAAACACGAGGATCTCAAAAATCTCAGTCCAGTGTTTCTCTTGTTTTATATCTCTTTAAGGTAATCATTGTCTTAAATGAAAGTTCCATTTCTTTCCTGCAAAAAATTTCTCCTTTTCAGGGGCCGGGGTTGTGGCTCAGTGGTAGAGCGCTTGCCTAGTATGTGTGAGGCACTGGGTTCGATTCTTAGCACCACATACAAATTATAATAAAAGTTCATTGACAACTAAAATAATATATATATACATATATGTATATATATATGTATATATATATATTCTTTAAAAAGTCTCCTTTTCATAGGATATAAGATGCTGCAAATTATTTAAAATGATAGAAATATGTAATTGCTTGAATACTAAGAATACAAAATTCTTTCTGAATGATTTTTAACAGTAAATAAATTGCATTTTTGTGATTAAAAAATGATGCTTTAGCATTAGTACTTGATATTAGAGTATAACCATAATTATGTTTTAATTATAAAACTTGATCTTTGAAAAGAATTTGGGGAATATTGAATAGTACAAAGAAGAAAATTACAAAAGACTCCAAACTTTATAACAAAGCATTACATTCTTTATACATGGATTTTTTTCTTTTTAATTTTTTCTTCTGTGTGAACAAATGCATATGTATTTATTATTTATTTATTTTTGTTACAGTAGTTAAAAAATAGATTGTTTTTAGATAGTTTCACTTATTATAATACAGAAACCTGAAAAAAGAGTATTGCTTCTTCTCTATCAATGAGAAAAAAGCATGTAAGCTAAAAAATTAAAACTCTTCTGAAACCTGTAAGAGAGCTGAAGATACAGGGCTACTAAGTATACTGAAACTACATATTAGGCTGGCCCTTCTTAGGAAGAGATAGGATACACAGATTCTACCACCTATAGCAGAACAGAGGAGAAAGGGATAGCCACCAGACAAAGGAGAAAGGGAAAACCAATTAGAGTCTTAAGGGGTTGCCAGCACCTTAGTGTGAGCTAGCATGGTAGTATAGAATTCCTAGTTGGGAGTCTCAGACTTAGGAGCTATTTACACTAACTCATACATTTTCTTCATGAACCTCCACTATGTGCTCACAAGAGAGATTGTGGGCTAGGTGGGAGAGACAATTACTGATAATGTTGCAGGTATGGAGAAGAGGATGAGACATGTATTCAAAAAGGCGTGAATCCCCATTCCTCATTGTTTGAAGTGTTCACTTATGCTCACCAGTTGCTTTCATGGCACTGGGGAAATGGCAGAAAACCCTGTCTATGGGAAGCAAGGAAAGATTCATTGTTACTGCCAGAGGCATTAAAGAAGCAACTTCCTATCTCTGCTAAAGAAGGTCAGAAAACAGTCCTGCACCCAGGCTCTTCTACCATTAAGAGGTCTTCTACAATTGGAAAAAGGGCAGAAACACCTCTAAGCTTTGGGCACACAGGATACACTTAAGATTGAGGCTAGCCAGGGCAAAAGAGAGCTTTGCTCACAGCTTAGCAAGAACTGAGTAACAAGTGGCTGCAGTATACCACTGGATGATGGGCCATGGATATGCAAAGAGTGGTACCTTCTATATTGGAGGTGTGCTGATATAGCTAAAAGATGGGGATGGTACAGAATCATTGTGGAAAAAAGCCTTCAGAGAGTCTACCATGCATAGAAGGCCTGTTTTACCATTAATTTTTTTTGAAATTAAAAAAAAGAAATTTAAAATCTATGAGACACTAAAGATAATCATAGCAACAATACAACTCAAGTGCAGGTCAATTCTTGCCTGTGTTTATTCAACCCATCACACTAAGGGTTCAACAGAAGGAGAGAGATGGAGTTATCAGTTAGGTGTGACATGTGTGAACATACTGAAACTTTTAGCACACAGATGGAAGTTATAGGAAAGAGTCAAATAAAAATTCTAGAAATACGAAATAGTTTTCTAGGTGAAGAATATCTTTGAAGAACTCATTGGCAGGCTTGATGTAGCTTAGGAAACAATCAGTGAACTTGAAGATATGTCAGTAGAAGTTACCCAAACTGACATAAAAAGAGAAAAAAAGTGAGGGCTGGGATGTAGCTTATTTAGTGGTAAAGTGCTGGCATAGAATGTGTGAGGCCCTGGGTTCAGTTTTCAGCATTGCAAAAATAAAAATGGAGTGGAGGGGTTGGGGGGAGAGAAGGAGAAGGAAGAACTGAAGTACCCAAGATCCTTGGAGCAATTTTAAACAGTAAATCCAAGAAGGAAAAAACCAAGAGATGAGGGAAGTAGAAATTTTGAGAGATAATGGCCATAAGAACGAACAAAGAAAAGTATTTAAAGCCTCATATTCAAACTGTTGAAAAGGAAAGGCAAAGAGAATCCTTGGAAGGCATTCAAGAAAATAAACATTCAATGCAGGTATACTAATAACAATACAGCAGAGTTTTTGTTTGAAACATGTAAGCCAGAGAAAATAGAGTGACATCCTCAAAGTGCTTAAAAAAGAAAAAATCTAGGGTGAATTCTGTAGACAGGAAAATAATTTTCAAAAATGAAAGCAGAGTAAATTTTTTCAGCTAAAAAACAGCTGAAAAGTTTGTTAAAGTACTTCAAATACTTTCTAGCATGAAGTCAATATTATTTGCTACTGTTACCAGTATCATTGCTATTATTTTATTATCATTATTACTGCAAGCACCACTGGCACTCCGTTTGCCAAATCAATTCTACTTGGCATGACTAACCTTGTTACTTATTTTCCAGTTCCACTGAAGTCGATGACATGATTCGTAAATCTACGAATCTGTTGCTAACCAGGACTCTGAGCAACTCTCTGCAGAATGTCATTAAAAGGAAGAATATTGGGCTTACTGAGGTAAAGCATCTCTTAGTGAAGGTAGCCAAGACAATATGTGAAAAGATGTCCCAAGCTCCAAGCCTCATGTGTGAATTAATTATCACTTTCTAAATGGTTTATTATCTTCTTTATAATAGATTCCTTATAGCGAAAGTACAAAATGAAATTTGTTCTTTGGTTTCTTTTGAGAAATCCATTATTTTTTCTAAAAGGTTGCTTCTTCCTCCTTTCATTTTCATTAGATTAACTGGTTTTCCTTTCTGATGTTCTTAGAATGGTTTTGTATAAGTTGCTATTGATCATAATTTTTGTTTTCAGTTGACAACAAATTCCTATTCAAATGAATTGCAGTGCATTTACAACATAGAATATGAAATCACATTTCACCTGCTTTAATTATTTTTGCCAAGGACAATGGTACTCAATAGTCCTTGCTTCATGACTGACTCAGCTTTTGTTTTTGTGGTATTTCATGTATATGAATGGTAAAGTAATCTATTAGCATATAGTGTTTGGCTAAAGGACTGGGGCTTTGAATTTGAGGAAATGTGAGAGAAAGACAATAGTTAATACACTCTCATAATGGGAGAAGGAATGTTGTACTTACATTGGGAATAATACCTTGGCAAACTGAAGATTTGGTTCATAGATGGATAGTTTCAAAATTTAGAAAGATATGAAGTTTTTTTTCTCTTGGAGACCCAGGATTATTTGGTGCCCTCAACCTGTCATCCTCTGAAGCATAGTGCCAAAAAGTGGGAGCTTGGAGAAATTTTCTTTTCCACAGGAAAAGGGAAAGGCTGTTAGCCATCTGTTATACCTATGGAGGTGTGTACTTTCAATGTCAGTTGCTCCAGGAAAAATTGACATTTTAAAATATATATTGTCAAAGAGTATGGTGAGACTCAGCAAATGGTTAATGATACTGACCTATAGGTAAAGACAGCTGGAAACCAGGTGAGCATCTACTTCTGATTTTGGAGTGACTTTCTTTCTTTTTGTTAAGATTTTAAAAATGTTACAAGGTGGGACATTGGCAGTGATTGGGCTCCACTTAAAACAACCTGTTGTTTTTTTTCAATTAGCATTCACCATAGTCAAGATTTAAGATACTTATCTCATTTTTCTAGAGTTTCCTTTTACCTCCCCTGGTGTAGAAATGTCAGGTATTGCCTTTATACATGTGAACATGGGCTAACTTCTTTTTATAATCAGGCCTATAAAAAAGGAAAGTAGGAGTAAGAATTAGAAAATTCTTGTGTTTTGTTAAACTGTACTGTTTTCATTTTTTCAGTCTCTACTAGGAAAAGAAGTCTATAATTTATTTTGTTAATTATCTCTTCACTGTAACTCTTAGTATGTGTGTGTGTGTGTGTTTCTGGTGGTAGGGATGGAACGCAGGGCCTCATGCATGGTGGGCAGCACTTTATCACTGAGCTACATCCCCAGACCTTTAACTCAAAAACTCTAATCATGCCATTTATTTTAGCAGTTTCTTTAAATCCATTTCAAAACAAGTAGACTAGCAAGGACATGGTCTGATACAAACACTTTTGGCCTCAGTAGACTCTTTGAGTTTTGTTGTAGCTTTGTCATTAGTTTACTGTGACATCTTAAGAAAAAGGCCTAACTCAACCAGCTGGGGTTTTCCTAGCCCCATTGTCCTTTACAAGGACATTATACAAATCCAATGATGATAGGAAGAAGCGATTAGAGCTTCTCAAGGAAAAACCACATTATAATTTTTGGCACTCTTTCATGGAATGCTAATAGTTATTCCTAAGTCTTTGGATTTTTTTTAGGCAAATGTACTTTCATCAGCATGATCTGTGCATGTAATTGAAGGAACAATTCACACAAATTAATTTCTTTTGCCTATTATCATGGTATATAATGTATAGACACACACACATCAAGGGTTTTTTTCCCTACCAACCAGAAAATCTTTGAAGAGTTATACCATTTACCTCTGGAAAGAGAAGACATTGTATCCTTAAAAGTAAACTAAAGTGATTTCACATCTGGAATCATCATCATAATAGGTAACATTTGTGGAGCAGTTTATATTCTTCAAAGCCCACTCACAAATACAATTTCATTTAGTATAGTAACATTTGAAGAGACTTGGCATGTGTTATTATTCCCATTTTATAGAAGGCATAATTAAAGTTCAGGGAGATTGCCCCTGAGGTCATACATCTAGCAAAATAGGAGAAATGAAACATAAATCTGGGTTATTTTTTTTCCAAGAGGTTCCCTTTTACTCAATTGAACTACCTTTCATATTGATTTAATTATTTCATCGTAACAAAGATAGAGATTTTACTGGAGGTATATAGCAACCTGGAAATTTTTTAATTAGAAAAATTTGGTTTCTAGTTAGAAAATTCACTCAAATAATGGAATTATTATAAGCATACAAAACTCATGAAATCCTGTATAAGGACATGAGATAATTTTCTTAAAACTTTGAAGTTCCTGTTAAGCTAATGTCTGTCTATCTGGCAATCTTGTTTTGGGATTACATGATATCTTGAAATCTCATCTTTTCTTTTTCTGACTACATGGTCTCTTCTTTTCTTTTTCTGTCTCCACACTGGCTTCTTGCTTCTGCACGTGTGTGTGTGTGTGTGTGTGTGTGTCTCCTTTGCTTTCCCATGTTGAGCCAATTCAACATTAGAACTCACTCTCAAATTTTATGTTATTCTCTCTAGTTGACTCAGCAACTACAGCTATTTTCCTAGACCTGCTTCTTCTAGGTCTATGGAAGTAGAAGTCGAGGTCTGCTTGAGAGGGGATGTCCTAATGTGGACATCTTGTGTTCCCATTCTGGTCCTCCCCTGAATAGCTGTATTCTTGGGCAAAATACTTGGCTTTCTGTGTAAAATGGGGATAATAGCATATATTTCATAGGATTGTTGTGAGGATTAAATAACCATGCTAAATACTTAGAACAGTGTCTGGGTCATTGTGAAGTAGTCAGTGGTTGTCATTGTAAAGAGGTCTGGGTAGGCAGTGGTTGTCAAGCCTAGTAGAAAAATGGACATTTTTGATTAAGAGATGTTGAAAGATGAGAAAAAAATCTTATTAAGATATAATAAAATAATCCATATCAATAAGTTCTGTGGAATTATCTATATTTTATATCTAATACTTCATTATTTATATTTAGTTATTAAGAATACATTTACTATTTCTTTGGCATAACCCTGATGTTATTATCTCAATTTTCAGATAATGAAAGATTATGAATATGAAGAACTTTAAGGCCAAACAGCCATTAAGAAATTTGAAATAAGTTTTCTTTTGGAATATGATTTGAAATAAGCTTTAAAAAAGAATTCTAATCCTTAGGTTTTTTTTTTTCATTCTACATTAATTTCAAAATATAATATGATGGAGAGAAATGAAACAATACAGTTTAATACTCTTAGAATATAATAGTTGTGCAGGGCACAGTTGTGCATGCCTGTAATCCTTGTAGTTCAGGAAGCTGAGACAGGAGGATCATGAGTTCAAAGCCAGACTCAGCAAAAGTGAGGTACTAAGCAACTCAGTGAGACCCTGTCTCTAAATAAAATACAAAATAGGGGTAGGGATGTGGCTTAGTAGTTGAATACCCCTGAGTACCAAAAAAATCCCCAGTACCCCCCCCCAAAAAAAAAAGAAAGAAAAAATAGTTGCAATTAAAGGAAAGTTTTAACATGAATCAAAGGAAATCCTGCTTCTATATTAATAGAAAACTTTAAGATATAAATTGAATTAAAAAGAATTTAAGTACTATAGATAATGGAAAAATAATATATTTAAGTCACTACTCAAATGTCATTTCCTTAAAAGAATCCTTCCTTAGTCTATTCCCTATTTCAAGATAGCTGAGAACTAGCAGAACCATTTAGTTCCTTACTCTCACTTTTATTCACAGTGTCTATTATAGTATAAACATTATATTAAATGTTTATGTGTATATGTGTTTATTGTCATCTTTATGAAGCCAGATACCTTGCGTACAGTTGTATATAGCAGTATCCAAAGTCCTTGACACATTTTAGGCTCTTAATTGACAAAAAGAGAGAAGAAAAGAAAGAAATTACATAGTTTGGTTCTTAAGGTAAAGTTAAAGATGTTCAAAGTGCCTATTAATGATACTGTATTGGGTATTTATATTTATTTATAATAGTGTCCCAAGAGACCTGAAGAAATGACCAATGCTTTGCCTTTATGCTTTGTTTTCTGTGTAATTCAGATTGATGACTATATGGCTCTTTCCTCTTATTTCTCACCTACCATTTACCTCCAGTCCCTATTAATAGCAGTGTTATTAGTTATTAGTTTTATACTTAAGTCAGGTTAAATAAAACTTTGTATTCAACCTTGGAATTCAGAATCAGTAGGTCTATGTATCTTAATATTTTCGATGTTTTAGTCGTTCATATGGTATGAAATAAGTAGTTGACACAGCTTTTTGTACCTTGGTTGTGGTGAAAAGGAGATAAAATCCCTTGAAGTCTTAGGGGTAACTCATTTTTGTGAGAGCCAGTATTTCTTTTTAAGTCTTTCCTTTTGTAGATCCAGCAGTTTGGAGGCATTAGTGGCATGTGACTTCTTATTTTTTTGCTTTGGGTTGAAGCTCTTGAAGCTTCAGTGTTCTGATTTTGTGCTTTTGAAAACAGACAAAAAGCAGTAATAATATAAGCAGATGTGAATACTCCTGGAGTGAGTTACATTTAGGAATGCAAACCTTGGAATTCAGGGATTAGATTTAGATGTTGAAGATGATGATTCTTTTTTTTCTGGAGTCTTTCAAGAATAGAACATCTGTCATTGTGGTTCAGGTTCCACTGGGCTCTTTGTAGCAGGATTTGAGGAGATGTGGTCTCCAGAATGTAGTCCATCTCTTTCTCAGTGGATCTTCCCTGGTACAAGGAAAGTGGGAGGCTGGGTGGGAGAATTCCAACTCCTAATGGTTTTTAACTTAAGTGATTTCTGTCAAAGTTGTGAGAGATGATTTTTCTTTATAATATTTTCTTATTCTGGTTGGTTCTATAGAACTTGCTATGAGAGATAACCATAATCTGCAGTCCGTTTTATTTTTTATTTAGAGACAGGGTCTTGTTAAATTTCTTAGAGTTTTGCTAAGTTGTTGAGGCCTGCTTTGAACTCATGATCCCTTTGAGAGTACCTAATTTGTTGTTAGTTCTGTGTCTTTGAAACAATGTTAAGGACAGTTTGGATTGGGAATTGGAGGTTAAAAATATCATCGAAGGAGCAAAACTTGGATGAAAGTTGATATCCGAAATTGCTTCATTTCATCTTTAAGTTCAAAATTATCTCCCAAACATCTGACTTTATATTTGTAAATGCCCTTGTAAGGATTGTGGTAACTGTCATTCAGGAGTAGAGATCACTCAGAGCTCATTAATAGACACTATTCCCTCTGAAAATGACATGGTATCTTCTGTAATCCTAGAGTGTTTTAATAGTCTATTCTGTGCTCAGCAATGAAACATTTCAAAAGTGACTGACAGCCAATTGATGTAATTCATGGTGATCTTTTTGTGTTGACAGATCTCTAAAAACTCATGGGAAATTACTACTGTACCCAGTGAAGCTGCCTCCTTTTTTTTTTTTTTTAAACTGCCAATATTCTACAAAACAGGACAATTTTCTCTTTGACTGCTGCTGATTTTTATTTCAATAACATGACATGATTCCTCCTTATTATTAGAATTTCTTTTGATAGTCAGAATGTGTTCCCTATAGATGTTAATTTTAAAATAGAAATTCTCCAAATTAACTCTCTTACTTTTCTAACTTCCATATCAAGACAACCTTGCCAGGAGCCCTTTTCCTACTCAGGAAGAAGTATTATTTAATTTAGACAATGTAAATATTTTTAAATGCTTTTTGTCCTTCACTAAAGGTAAAATATGGAAAGGATAAGGGTGATGAATTGCTTATTTTGGTGGGTGTTTTTCCTAGAGCACTGAAAAGCTAAAAGTCTGATATTTTGGTTAATATTAAGGAAAATAGCAGTCATGTGTTCAAAACTCAGAAATCTCCAGATTTATATTTTGGATGAATGGAAAGTGGCTGCTGATACATAGGCCCTTGTCTGATGAGTTATGGGGAATAACTCAGTGGTCTAGACCTCACTGTTGCCCTAACTTTTCATCTAAGAGAATTTGCTGGAACTACATCTCTTTGTCTTTGCCCTTTGTCACTGTGTTTCAAATGTAGCAGTTTTCCTAAGACTTTCAGGCTGATCTTTAAAGAGAAAGGGTACTCTTTTTCCTTAATTCAACTCATTACTTTGTAAAGCATGATTGTTATGAGTTGACAAGTTTTTTTTTTTTTTTTTTTTTTGGTACTGGGCTTGAACCCAGGGGCACTCAACCACTGAGCCACATCTGCAGTCCTTTTTATTTTTTATTTAGACACAAGGTCTTGTTAAGTTTCTTAGGGCTTTGCTAAGTTGCTGAGGCCTGCTTTGAACTCATGATCCCTTTGAGAGTAAACTGAATGGTGTAGCCCTGTGCTGGGTGTTTTGGAGGAGATCTGAATATACTTTCTGATTATAGTCTTACTCATTTTTGTTTACCCATTCCACAGCATGACACAATGATTTTATCAAAGTATAATTCCAATTTTTAAACAGTGTTTTGAAGTATCATTTATAATATGTGTAATACCTCCTTCATCTTTTGTTCTAATTTCTCCCTTGTATCATCTTCCCACTCTCCCCCTTGCTCAGTATTTCACTAAACTAAAAGGTGGCCTAAATCAGCCCATAGAGTCAGACTCTGAACCTCTCTGTACCTGCTATCAGATGTAATCTTGTGAAAATGAAAAGTTAAATGCAGAAAGGAGAGACCAAAAAGATTCCATTCTTTTAGACTATAGGGAATATGAAAAGTTACAATAGTTTCATAGTTAAGAAATAAATTGTAGGTACCCCCTCCCCCTCTCTCTTTCTTCCTTTCTTTCAGTGGAGAGTAGAAGAAAAGTATGGAGCTGTCTGGTTGATGGCAAACCCCAAATCTGACATATGAGCCCAATTTACACAAGCATGTAGTATCCTCAGTCTGCCATCTTATGCTTATGCTAAAAGGCACTGCTATAAGTTGTTTAGATGAGTCTGTAATTTAAAAGTAGATGACTTGGGATTTGAGTATTGATTCCAGTTAAGTGATTAATAAAAAAATCATTTTCATTGCTGTTACATAAAATGGAAGTAATAATTATATGCATTGAACCTACTTCTTCAGGTTTATGGGAAAACAATGTAAGAAAGTAAATTGTGAAGTTCTTTACAACTTTAATTTTATATAGAAATAATAATTCTTCTTCCTCATCCTCCTCTACAATGAATCCACTGAGGATGATTTTTATCTTACCAGTACTGCCTTTTCCTTCTCCTTCTTCCTCCTCCCTTCCTCCTATTTTTCTTCTCCTCATTATTAGTCTTTTTCCTCTTCCTCCTTTTGGTGCTGGGGATTGAAACCAGGGCCTTGCTCAAGATAAGCATGCACTTGGCCACTAAGATACACTCCACCCCCGATATCATCGTTGTCTTCTTTTGTTTTTTAATTCTGTTTGTTATACATGACAACAGAATGCATTCAATTCATATTACACATATAGAGCACAATTTTTCACATCTCTGGTTCTATATAAAGTATATTCACACCATTCATGTCTTCATACATGTACTTAGGGTAATGATGTTCATCTTATTTTTCAAGATCAATAATTTGTCAAGTGATTTAGTCCCCTGGTTTCTCTGACTTTAATGCCCATGATCTTTCCTTCCTAAACTAAAGTTATTTGTTAATATACTGCAATCTATTCTAACATCCATCTGTTCATCATGCCTAATTTTGAAACTTCTCATTGCTATTTCAGTTACTCTTATTCGTTTAGTGGGATCTCATTCGTTAATTCTTTGGGCAATTATTTATTTGCAGGCACTATGTTAGAATAGCAGCTTTTTTCTCTCAGTCTAGCTTTTTTAAAACAGAAGAAAACTGTGTTAAGAATAGAGTGACAAGTATTGCTAAAATGCAGAGAAATACAAAATGTTTTGGGAGGTCAGAGAAGGCATTGTGGAGAAGGTACGATATAAGCCCATGCTGCACCTAACCCTTTACAGGATGGCCTCTGCTACAGGCCATTCATTTGTTTTGTATCAGTGTATGAATATTGAGTCATTCTGTCTGGTGGCAGATATTCAAGTTACTTTTGCTTATTGTCTTCTAGCTTGTCCAAATTATTATAAATACAACACACTTGGAGAAATCCTGTAAGTACTTGGAAGAATTCATCACCAATATCACTAATGTGCTTCCAGAAACAGTCCACACCACCAAGCTCTATGGCACCACAACTTTTAAGGTGAGAGATTGTTTAGTATTATGGAAATGTTCTAGTGTACATAGTCTGGAGCATTCGATTAACACGGCTTTGTTTTCTCAGGATAATTTATAATATGCTTTTGAGAATAAGTACTTATAAAGGGTTTTGTTTTCCTTCTTCATTTTCTTTGAAAAACAAATATCTGTGTTAGTTTTTGGTGTTTAAACTAAACTAAAACAAAACAAAACACACCCCAAACCAGAACTAACCAAACAAAACTAAAAATATACAACTGTGTCCTCTAAACCCTTCCTTCTTTGTGTTTTGTGTAGGAAAATGACTGTTTCCTAAGTTGACTCCCTCACACCCAAGAATTCTAAATTGTGATCTAAATAATCCTCATTATGGCTGACATCAACATAATTAAAAATTTCTCCTTAGCTGTTCCCTTCTCTCTGGGTCTGATTTTGAAAACTCCTGATTTTTTGTGAGGAATTTCTCTCTCTTATTATTAGAGTTAGCATTTTTATAATTATTTTACAAGGTCATATCTTTAGTTTTGGTCCATCGTTGGATCAAATGGGAAAACTGACATTCTTGTAGAGAAGAAAGATTATTGGTAGATAAGTTTCTGGAGGATAAAAGCTTTAAGTAAAAGAATCCTAATTAATTCTTTTATGTTGCCATGTGAGCTTAAAATAGGTATTAAGCAGAACAAGTAATAAGGCAATGTGGATTCTAACATAAAGACTAACCTATGTGGTTTGAGATTTTGTTATTATTATTCAATTGTTTTCTTGTTTTAAACAAGTTCTGTTGCCCTTTTGAAATCTAGACATTGATAACTAGATATATAGTAGTTGAGATGAGACCAGGATTTATATTCCCTAATGTGTATTTATTTTGATTTTCTTTTTACATTTGTTGATATCTACTTGTTGATAGTATGTGCAAGGGAAGAAATCAAATTGAGTTCATACTGTCATTGTATGAGAGTACAACCAGTTGGTAAGAAAAAAGTACAGTTTTGAAATATAAAATAATTTTTGTGGATGATGTGATTAAGTTAGTGACTAGTTTGAGTTATATGTTCATTTGGTAACCATAGATTGTTTTATATTACTAATAAACTTACCTAAAATTTAATATATGACATATTATCTTCATGTCATTCTGTTCAAGTTGTTCAGTAAAGTCTAATTATTCCTTGGTCTTCATAATGGATTAGACCAGGATGCCCCATAGATGCCAGAATTTGTGAGAGGACCAATCTTTTATATAAATGGTTGAAGTATTTCATTTCCATATAGCTTATACACATCCTCCAGGATACTTTAAATCATCTGGAGATTATCTATAATGTCTTATATAATGTAAATGCTACATAAGTAGTTGTTATACTGTATTGTTCAGAGAATAATGATAAGAAAAGAATCTGTATATTTTTAGTATGAATGAATTTTCTTTCTCATATTTTCAATCATTGAATCCACAGATGTGAGCCTCTAGATACAGAGGGCTGACCATACTAAACATTGATTCTCTTTTAATAAAGAAAAGAATTAGAATGGGATAGTCATTTATATTTGTCTATCCTATGGAGAATATGTTGTATTTACTGGTACTCTTTCCCCAACCTATCTCAATTTTTTATTTTATTTTATGTCTTTTCAAATAGTGTCCAGAAATCCTCTCAAAGAATGGCTTGTGTGTTTTGTTATGGCTCCAACATTTAAAATGCTGAGGGAAAATGACAGCTAGACAGGAAGCCATAGGGGTTGAAAAGCCAGTTAAATACTTAGTAAAGGAGAAGTTCTGGAGCCACTAAAGGTCATGTTGACAGTGCCTATTGGAAACACTGATTGCTTAAAACACATTGAAAGTTTATTTTCACCAGGGTTGTTTCAGACTAGCTAACCCAGAACTCAATATAAACATGGCAATTATAACAGTTACATGTTGTGTATTTTCCTAAGCTACTGTTTCCAGAAAACTTTCCCTAGCAGATGGAAACCTTTATGCTGGAAAAGGGGCAGCGAGAATTAGAAGGTTTTCAAGGTATTTTCTTGCAGAGTTCCCTCTTGTTTGTGCCATATGTGACATAATCCAGCTGGCATCCTCAGGTTTCCTTGTTCATAAGATTTTCCTCACTTTCTTACATCTTCTTAGAATGAAGATATTTATTAACTTACAACATCACTAATATTGCTTGCATAATTACCATGTGACCTGTAGTAGATTCTTGGGGAAAGAAAACAAAAGTACTTTATCCCTGGACTTATAGTTTATGATCTACAGGTAAGAAAACACTACATTTTATGAAGAAGTATGCAAAAACACTACAATAAAACCCAAAATGCACTCATTCCCTTATTTAGTCAGTAAATTTTTATAAAGTATACCTCGATGCCAGGCAATTTCATAGACACCAACAAAATAAATGAGTCTCCTGACTTTACAGTAGTTATGTTTAATGAATTATATATGAGAAAGAAGTCTAATATAGTTTCAGGTAATAATAAAAACTAGGAAAAAATAAATGAACCAAATAACATAAAAAGTTGAGTCATTTGGATTTCTTGTGGATATGCATTCCAATCAAGGAGAATTGTACAGTGGTAGGTATAAGGGGTCAGTCTAACTGTGGCATATCTAGTACTTGTGCAGGTGGTAAGAGATGAAGTAGTAAGGAGTCAGATGATTTCTGATATTCTAGACCATAATAAAAACTTTATATATTTTTTTTAAATGAGATGTAAAGTCATGAGAAGTTTGGTGAGGATGGTGATCTGATTTATCTTTTTTTGGTTAAGCCTGGTTATCATATGGAAAATAAATACTTTGTAAGTCAGTAAGAGTAGAAGAAGAGAGCTTGGGTTGGAGGCCATTGCAGTAATCCACTAAGAGTTAGTGGTCACTTGGACTAGCGTGGTAGCATTTGAGGTGCTAAGAAACATTTTCAAAGGTAAGTAGAGATAGCAGGTCTCGTTGCTGAGTTGAATGTTGGTTTTTAAGAGAAGTCAAAGATAATTCCAAGATGGTTGAATGTTGGTACTATTCATTGAGATGGGAGTCTTTTATTATTCTTTATGAGAATAGTAGATTTGGAGAATTGAGGTAGAATCAAGACTTTCATGTTTGACATATTAAGCTTGAGTTATTTAGTTGTGATCTTCAATGAGGTGTTCTACTGATAGGATAAAATCTCATAACTGGAGATAAAAATTTAGAATTTATCAATATAAAGATGTATTCAGTGCCTTGGGATTGACTTTTTTCTGGGAATTGGACATATAGAGACAAAAGTTGTGAAGATTAACTCCATAGGTCTTCAACAGTGATACACCCAGAAGAGGGGAATTCCACAAAGAAAGGGAAAAAAGAAGGAGAGAAGAAATAAGTAAATCACAGTTGTTCAATAGGCAGAATGAGAAGAAATTACCCAGAAGAGTTTGTGTAACTCTGCTCTAGCAAATTTGAGGTCCTATAGAATATATAACTAAAAGTGATTAAAAAATATTTGGAAAACCTAAATTTGACGAGTAACCAAGTAAGAAATGAAAACATCGTCAATGACTTTAAAATTAGGCAAGGTTCAGATGATTTTAACAGTGAATTCATTTAAGACTCCCAAGAAACAGATAATTGCTATATAACAAACTATTCAGATCATAAGAAAAGAAGAAATGTATTTTAGTTCTTTAAACCCAGCATAAAATGATTCAAAATACAGAGAAACCACAAAACATAATGTGAACCATTAAATATTGCTGTAAAAATCAGAAATAAAAATCAAACAAAAAGTATATACCAAAAGATGAGGGATTAAAGTAGTTTAGGAATGCAAGGATAAATAGTACTAGGAAATTATTTAAAATCATTCCCTGCTTTAAAAGATCAAATGAGAAAAACATTTTGAAAGATATAAGAGGTATTTTATATGTCAACATCTATTCCTACCAATCCTTTCTATCTATAAGTGACAAATCCAGAAGGCAGGAAATCAGTAAAGATATAGTTGAACTGAATTCAACTAGATTTAATTGATATTTATAGAATATTTTGTCTAACAACAGCAGAATACACATCCTTCCTAAGCTCATACAGAACACTGACCAAGACAGACCATGTTCTGGACAATGCAATACGCTTTAAAAAATTTTTTTAGGAAATAGGGGCTGGGGTTGTGGCTCAGTGGTAGAGTGCTCGCCTAGCATGTTCGAGACCCTGGGTTTAATCCTTAGCACCACATAAAAACAAATAAATAAAATAAAGGTATTGTGTCCAACTACAACTAAATAAATAAAAAAAATAAAATTTTTTAGGAAGTAGAAATTGTAACAAAATTTGTTCTCAGACCACATGGAATTAAACTAGAAATCAATAACAGGACAATAACTAGGAAATCTCAAAATGTTGGGAGATTAAATAACATATTCCAAGGGAAAAATGTGTTTAAGGAAAAATATGTCATGAGGAATTAAAAAATATTTTGTTCCAAATAAAAATGAAAATACAATTCATCTATATTCATGGAATATAGTGCAGGTATTGGGTGGAGGAAAATTTGTAGCATTAATAGCATATATTACAAAATAAAGAAAAATCTGGATTCAATAATCTATGGTTCTACCTTAGAAAATTAGATAAAAAAGAATAAATTAAATCCAAAATAAAGCAAAAGAAAAAAGGAAATAATAAAACTAAGAGCACAAATTAATTAAAATGATCTAAAAAAGTGAAACAAGGTCAAAAGCTGGTTGTTAGAAAAATATCAATAAAACTATTTATTGATATTTGAATCAGCTAACCAAGAAAAAAGAGAGAAAACAAATTGTTAATACTAATATACGTGAAAGAGAAACTATTGTTACCAATCCCATCCATGCTCACTGAAATAATAGTAAATGAATATTTTGAACAATTCCTTACACACATCTTGAAAACCCACATGAAGTAGATAAATTCTAACTTAAAAGACATTGTGTTAACTTGCTGTTGCAGTAACAAAATACCTCAGATAATCAACTTAAAAGAGG